TCAACTAGTATTTTTTGAATATTTTATTATATTGAGCCTAGAAACGAAAAATTTAATATGCGGCATACTGATTGAATGAAAATCTATAAAAGGCGACATTTCGGTACTTTTTGGTATTTTTTTCTTTGATTGACAATTTGAATGAAAATCTATGTATATAAAGTGAAATTTAAAGAGATTCTGGTACTTTCTCGTTTTCCAACTGCTATTTCTTTAAACTTTTAACACACTATTGTTAAAAATTGATCCAAATATTTAAAATCGGTCATATCTAAATGGTCAAAAACTTCCTCTAACAAAAGTATACCGGACTTCATATTAAGTAAGGGCTTCTTTCTAATGTTATGTGTACAGCGTAATCTCCATACCAATGTATGCAGTAAAAACTTCTGAAATCAGAAAAATAAAAAAAACTAGTAGGTTTTTAAATTTTGAGATATTCACAGATATTTCTATCTTATACAAAAACACTCATAACTTAAATTCCACTCAAAGCATATTGGAGAAAGGCAACACCCACTTTGAGTGTTAATTGGTACAACAAATAAATATAGAACATACATTGCCTAATTATACCAAAAAAGTAAATCTAAATGCTCAATAATTTGGTGCACAAACCCACAATCAATTGATCGTATATTTTATGGGCAATGTGTTTTTTTGATAATTATTTCTTTTGGAAACGTACCAACCTACGTAATTTTGTTTTTATTCAGTGCAATTGTTCTATTTGGATGTGGGCATCTTTAAAATCGAATGGTGTATCATAAATACTGTGTATATGAGTACAAACAGGGCAAAAAATCTATTGAAAATAAATGATAGCACGAGCTATAGGGTGTATTTTTTATTCAATGTTCTTTTAATGTTTTCTTTAGAATACCGTTGAATAAACAAAATGGAGTCTGTTGGGGTTTATTCTGTTATTAATTGTTTATTTGACGTTGTTTTTATTAAATTATAGCAGGGAATGGCATAATGTCTACCAGTAAATACTACTTTTCGAGGGAGGACTTAATAATTATTTTAAATAAATTGCTTTTGATTTTCGAAAATTTATTTAAAAGTATTTGAACACTTGATTCTTTTCACGATTTGTACAAAACCTTGTTTTTAAAAGAAATTTATTCAATTTGAACAATTCTTTCCAGTTTGCCCTCGTACCATTTAGTAGTATTCTACTAGTAATAGTTTGTAGTAAAATATAAATACTAATAACGATTTATTTTTATATTGTTCTGGTTGAAAAAAAAAACTGTTCTGTTTTTCATCATTGGCACTTGTATATTTGGATTTACCTGGTCCTTCTCTAAATATATACAAAAAAATCTTCGATACAGGTAAAACTGTTTTTATTTATATTTTTGTTTAATTTTGAAAAAAATGATTCCACCGCAGTTTCTTTAAAAGCGATTTTTACTCTGGTATACTTATAAAACTTTAATAATATACAGCTTGTTTGAATTTTCCAATTTGTCTATTAAAAATTGTTTAAATATAATATTTAGAATATACAAATAATCCAAATAAAAAGAGCTATTAAGTTGTTTAAATAATTACTGCAATTTAAAATTTAATTGTTCACCATTCACCATTTCTTTGGGGTTTTAGCTTAAAATTTAAGAATAGCAATTAAATTATAGTACCTTTATTTTCAAACAATTTCTGATTTATTTTTATGACCCCAATTATAGTATTCTTTTTCACAAATAATTCAAATGATGCATTTTTTAGGAACTTTAAACTATTCCAATTCTAAACTTTGCATTCTTATATTTTTTGTGTTAAACTAGTTGGACCCTTTCATGTTTCTAGTAATTTGCTTATCATTAGAACAGATATTAAAACCGGACAATTTTTAAATTGTAAACTCTTTTTTTAAATAATTAAAAAAAAATAAAACTCGTGCTGCTCTTGACGGATCATCAATAAATAATAAACGACCAGAGTTCTTTTCTTCATTCGGTTAAAGGAACTTTAGAAAAATAGGAACAGAAAAAATCCAATAAAATAATTTCGAAAAAAAATTAATTTTTGTCTAGAACTAGAACTGAACTAGAACTAGAACTGAACTAGAACTAGAACTGAACTAGAACTAGAACTGAACTAGAACTGAACTAGAACTGAATTAGAACTGAATTAGAACTGAACTAGAACTGAACTAGAACTGAACTAGAACTGAACTAGAACTGAACTAGAACTGAACTAGAACTGAACTAGAACTGAACTAGAACTGAACTAGAACTGAACTAGAACTGAACTAGAACTGAACTAGAACTGAACTAGAACTGAACTAGAACTGAACTAGAACTGAACTAGAACTGAACTAGAACTGAACTAGAACTGAACTAGAACTACTGAACTAGAACTGAACTAGAACTGAATTAGAACTGAACTAGAACTGAACTAGAACTGAACTAGAACTGAACTAGCACTGAACTAGAACTGAACTAGAATTGAACTAGAACTGAACTAGAACTGAACTAGAACTGAACTAGAACTGAACTAGAATTGAACTAGAACTGAACTAGAACTGAACTAGAACTCAACTAGAACTCAACTAGAACTCAACTAGAACTGAACCAGAACTGAACTAGGACTGAACTAGAACTGAACTAGAACTGAACTAGAATTGAACTAGAATTGAACTAGAACTGAACTAGAACTGAACTAGAACTAAACTAGAACTGAACTAGAATTGAACTAGAACTGAACTAGAACTGAACTACAACTGAACTAGAACTGAACTAGAACTTAACTATAACTGAACTAGAACTGAACTAGAACTGAACTAGAACTGAACTAGAACTGAACTAGAACTGAACTAGAACTGAACTAGAACTGAACTAGAACTGAACTAGAACTGAACTAGAACTGAACTAGAACTGAACTAGAACTGAACTAGAACTGAACTAGAACTGAACTAGAACTGAACTAGAACTGAACTAGAACTGAACTAGAACTGAACTAGAACTGAACTAGAACTGAACTAGAACTGAACTAGAACTGAACTAGAACTGAACTAGAACTGAACTAGAACTGAACTAGAACTGAACTAGAACTGAACTAGAACTGAACTAGAACTGAACTAGAACTGAACTAGAACTGAACTAGAACTGAACTAGAACTGAACTAGAACTGAACTAGAACTGAACTAGAACTGAACTAGAACTGAACTAGAACTGAACTAGAACTGAACTAGAACTGAACTAGAACTGAACTAGAACTGAACTAGAACTGAACTAGAACTGAACTAGAACTGAACTAGAACTGAACTGAACTAGAACTGAACTAGAACTGAACTAGAACTGAACTAGAACTGAACTAGAACTGAACTAGAACTGAACTAGAACTGAACTAGAACTGAACTAGAACTGAACTAGAACTGAACTAGAACTGAACTAGAACTGAACTAGGACTGAACTAGAACTGAACTAGAACTGAACTAGAACTGAACTAGAACTGAACTAGAACTGAACTAGAACTGAACTAGAACTGAACTAGAACTGAACTAGAACAGAAGTAGAACAGAAGTAGAACAGAACTAGAACTGAACTAGAACTGAACTAGAACTGAACTAGAACTGAACTAGAACTGAACTAGAACTGAACTAGAACTGAACTAGAACTGAACTGGAACTGAACTAGAACTGAACTAGAACTGAACTAGAACTGAACTAGAACTGAACTGGAACTGAACTAAACAAGAACTTGAGTGAAGTAAAACTTAACTAGAACTGAACTCAAATAAACTACAAATTACCCAGATCTGAACAAGATTTGAAAAAGAATTTCTAAAACTAACTGAAATCGTCGTTTCCATATAAAACTTTATGGTTATTGTTAGAATTGGGAGGACCTAAAAGCATAAAATTTTCTTTTATATTAAAACAGTATAAAAAATAGGTAGGGATTTCTCAGTGTGTTAAAGGCTTTCTAGTGAACTCGATAAACTGTGAGTAAACTATAAATGATTTTAAAACAATTTGAGAAACATATTTCGCAAAGATCGAGTTTCGTTGAAATTATAGGTTTATAAATATATTAAAATTGAGATAAAATTAAATTAAACTTGTCAATTTTCTATTTTAATTAACATTTAGAAACATTCTAAACTCCATAAATTTTCAAACATATGTAGTAATATTTTTTCATAACTTAATAAATATATGTATTTATGTTGTATTATAAATATGCATTTTATTTATTTTATTATTACTTTGACACATCAAGACCTAGAGATATGTACATACATACATACATACATATATGTGTATATAGTGAACAAACATTATGGTGTTTTTGTTGCTTTATAAAACAACCAATAATTTCTGTCGTTTCCCTTTAACTTCCAATAAGAATTCAATAAAAACTCTAAAAACTATAGTGTTGAAACATTTACGCTTAACATTTGGTTGTGTCAGCGAGCAAACAGCTTCTGTATTTCCTGGCAACAAAAATTGTGAACGATTCGAATGCCGTGAGTGTGTTTTTGAAGTATTAGTTGTGCTACTGTATAATTTTTCTTCAACATTTATGTTTTAACAGTGACGAAGGAAATTTATTGAAGCAATAAGAATCAACTAAATCTAATATTTCGTTTAGTCTCAACGGAGATGCCGAAAAAATGTTTTTAAAAGTTGTTGAAGATGTTCAGATTATCCTATTAATCTGCACAAGTTTTACCCACCACTGTTCGTGCTGTATATGCATGATGCAACTCAATGCAATGAAAACATTTCTCTCTTCATTTCAAGTCGTATAGGAAAATAAAAATATTTCAAGAATATAAAGGAACCTCATCATCTGCATAATATGCTTTAGGGAAACTTCGTTGCATTTTTGCTTTGAATATGAAAATCAAATATATTTTCTTTGCACTTCATAAAATTTTATATGGCTTTTAAAAAGACAAACTAAAAAATCGATGATGATGACGACCCTGACGATGTTGCAAAGAAAATATCAATAGATTCAACTTCCGGTGAAAAAGAGGGCGCATTTTATGTTTTTAAATTAGTTTTTCAAAATTTATTTTTCCGATATAAAAGTTAAATTGTAAGAGTAACTACATTAGTTTTCATTTTGTTCAAAAAACTACATATTAAATAAAAACATTGATGAAAAATAAATTGTGCAATTATAAAACAAAAGAAAAGTGTTGGTTTTTAAAAGAAACGTGAAGTTACAACTCCCACCAACAACAGCAACATAGAAGCACCACCATAGGCCATGGCGGAATCACGGGCCAAAGGAATTTCAGTGGTATTGAATTCCAAGAAATTGCAACCAGCACCTTCACAAGTATAACAGTTGGAAATATCCTTACATAAACCATTAGCTTGGGCACTTGATAGACAGCCACGTTGAACGGAATTGGTACTATTACGGCCATCTTTGCGAATATAACATTTATCGCCCAATTTATAGGTGGGACAAATCACCGGCTTAGCATAGATATCAGTGGCACAGGTACTGTTTTCATTATTACCGCTACATTGCAAACACTGTAAACGATGGGTAGGAAATACTTGACGATTGCAGCCCTCGGTAAAGGTACAAATCAGACATTCCATTTCATTGTTGCAATTAGAGGCGGTGGCATTATCTAAGTCCATAGCACAACCACGAATAGTGTTACCATCTAGGGGTATAAGAAGTTTAAAAGTTTTTTAAATATGATAAAAGTTACGAATGTCTTGTTCGCTTAATTACCTAAAACTCTGGTGTAACATTTCGATGTGGAATTGGTGCACTCTTTAGCTAAAAATGAATCGGGATTTGTGGCACATTTAATATCGTTAGCTGAATTACATTGAACGCAGGCATCTGAAAAGAGGGATAAACAAAAATAAAATTTTTCTAATGATGACCAATTTAATAAGATTTTTTGGAAAGCATAACAAACATTTTCTAAAAAATCCAAACAGTCAATAGTTGAAGATCTTATTTTTTATAATCCCAATAGTTAACAAGTAAGAAATTATAGTCGGGCGAGGCCGACCATATAATACCCTACACCTTTGACAAAAAAAATCCCATAATGTGATTTAGTTGCCATAATAAAGCATTTAAGTTGAATTGTACCTTGCCTTAGATATACATACTTAAGCCGTTTATTGTTGAATAAAAGTGTGGACATTTAAGTGAAATTTTGATAGGGCTTTTCATTGGGTTTTGCAGCTTTTTGTCGAGATATGAGTATATTAAACATAATTATGAACTTATTCGGCGGGTTCAGTTGTATGGGGGCTAGGTGAAATAATGGACCGATGTAAACTATTTTCAACAGGCTTCAAGGTTTAAAAGCCCTATTCGGGGGTTCAGTTGTATGGGGGCTAGGTGAAATAATGGACCGATGTTAAACATTTTCAATAGGTTTCGTCCAAGGTTGGCAACCGTTTCGAAACGGTGATAAGGTAGCGGTATCGGCATTTTGAGTTATTTAGGTATTGGTATTTTAGCGTTATCGGTATTTTGGCTTATTTCGGTATAGGTATTTTAGCGTTATCGGTATTTTGACTAATTTAGGTATTGATATTTTAGCGTTATCGGTATTTTGGTTTATTTCGGTATTGATATTTTAGCGTTATCGGTAGTGTACAAAAAATATATTTTAGCGGTAATTTCAGTATGATTTAAATAACTAACAAGTATGAAAGTATAGTCGGGCATGGCCGACTATATTGTACCCTACATCATGGGTATATTTTAAAAATTATTTATTTTTCATAAAAAAAATATTATGTTGAATTTTACCTTAATTCCGATGTATTAAAGCAATTTATTGATGAAAAACAAAATTTTTAAAAGAAGCTTTTTATGGGAGTTAGGTTTAAATATGGGCAGATACTCAACAAATTGGGAAGAGGGATGTTAGTTATGCAGAATTTCATCACTAATGGTTACAAGTCAATTTTTGGACGTTTAAGATATTTTTTAAAGGGGGGTTGTATGGGGGCGGCCGATCATTATAAAAATTGGCATAGTCGTTTATGCCTCTATACATTTTTGGTGAGATAGTAGTATATTTGACATAGTTATGAGTTAAAAACCCCAAACCGGTAGGTGGTGGGGGTAGTTGAATTAATGGACTTTGAACTTTGTCACTGGTATCTTCATGCCTAGGAAGCAGGGTTCAGTATACGTAGAAATTTTTATCTTTCTTGTGAAAAGACAGATTTTAACATTGAGGCCTCTCGGTTGAGCCCAGCTCAAGGCCGTATTCAGAGCCTCCACAGCTCTTTTACATAAGTTATTTGGATCCTTTCCATTTAAAAGTATTACGACATCATCTGCATAGCAGTTTTAAGTCCTTTATCAGTTAGGGTCCTTAGGAGGCTATTAATCGTGATAACCCAGAGTAAAAGTGACAAAATGCCACCCAGTAGTATACCGCGAAATACCTTTTTCCTGATAGTTATATCGTACATATCGCAGCTTATCCATCTGTTCCTTGGATGTAGTTCATCCAGTTAGATCGGTATACTTTAAAGTGGGTGTAGGTCCAATATTTTTATGCGTTACAAACATCAGCACAGATGCAAAGTACTTATTTATCCTAGTCCCCATACAACCAGAACTTCCGATTTGGGATTTTTAACTCGAAACTACGTCAAATATACTACTATCTCTCCAAAAATTGGCACAATTAAGTTTTATATAGGAATAAAAGCAATCTCGATTCGGCTATGCCGAATCTTAAATATCCTTCACCAGCAAGCTACTTTTTATTAAAACCCATTTAACTATCTAATTTTTACATAACTTCTCAAAATTTTTGTTTCCGTAGTGAGGGTACTAATATTTATGCATATGTGGAACTAATTTCGATTAGGTTCATAAAATTTTATATTAAAAGGCCAGTTGCAAACATTTTAATATAATGATTTATCTATACAAAACATACTCATGTCGAATTTTATCTGGATATAATCATTTAGTAATGAATTAAGTGGTATTAAGTGATTTTCAGAAGTAAAATTCCGTATAACGATTTATATATACAAAATACACATTTATGTCGAATTTGATCCCGGTGACTTTGATTGTCAATGTGCGTTTAAGTAATTTTCGGAAATGATCTTTATATGGGAGTTGTGACCAATTATGGACCTATCAAGAAAAAATTTCGTATAATGATGTATATGCAAACAAAAAATTCAAGTCGAATATTACTCCAATAGATTTATTAATGAATTATTAATGAAAGTGGACCTTATATAGGAGCTATGACCAATTACGGTCCTCTCCAGAAAAATTTCGTAGAGTGATTCATATGTATGTACACAAAACTTATTTGTGTCGAATTTTATCAAGATAGCTTTATTTGACAATGGAATATTTGAGTTTAAATGATTTTCGGAAGAGGGCCTTATATGGGAGCTAGTATGATTTCTATTCATATTATAGTTTTATGTACAAAATTTTGTGTTGATACCGATATTTTTGAGGGAGTTATTAACGATAAACTAATTTCCGGGAGTATACACCTTTGTATGGGGGCTATGGGAAATATTGGATCAATTGAACACACTTGATCCCTGGCACAAAAAAGTAATGTGCGACAAAATTCATCGAAATATCTGTGGTAGTTTCTGAGAAAACTACTTCAGAATTGGGAAAAAGAACGTTATTTTTTTCGATGTAGTCTGAAATTTTTACTCATAACTTTTTACATCGTGAACCGATTTTACTGATTTTCAATACCAAACTGTACCGGATAATAAAGAACGTGTTGGGTGAATTTTCGTGCTTAATTTTAACGTGCGCGTGTTTTACACAGACAAACAGACAGACCGACGGACAGACGACTCAGAATTTCATAAGGATCAAGAATATATATACTTTGTTGGGACAAAGTTATATATACCCTCTATCACCACTGATGGTGGTGGAGGATATAAAGATATCTTAAACGTCCAAATATTGATTTATAACCATTAGTATCGCGATTAAACTCAGCAATTCAGAAATACATCCCTCCTTTTTTGATGGTGGGTATAAAAAGAAGGTTGCCATTGTTTGAGGAAGAAATGAAAAATCGCCAGTGATATTAACAATATTAATAAAGTGAATATTTACTTACTTTGGAAATTTTATTTCTTTTTAATAAGATATCGGTATTGGTATTTTAGCGTTATCGGTAATTTAGCTTATTTCGGTATTGGTATTTTAGCGTTATCGGTATTTTAGCTTATTTCGGTATTGATATTTTAGGGTTATCGGTATTTTGGCTTATTTCGATATGGGTATATTAGCGGTAACGGTAGTTGTGCTGAAAAGGTATTTTAGCGGTAACGATAGCTTAGCGATAACGGTTGCCAACCTTGGTTTCGTCTACGATACCATAAAAGATCATGTGCCAAATTTCATTGAATTATCTCCAAAATTGCGACCTGTAGTTTGATTACAAGGATTACAAGCCCTATTGGGGGGTTCTGTTGTATGGGGGCTAGGTGAAATAATGGACCGATCTTAACCATTTTCAATAGGCTTCGTCCCTGGGACAATAGAAGATCATGTACCAAATTTCATTATAATAAAATTGCGACCTGTAGTTTGATTACAAGGTTTACATGGACGGACGGACATAGCTAAATCGACTCAGAAAATGATTCTGAGCCGATTGGTATACTTTAGGGTATAGGACCAATATTATTGGGCGTTACAAACATCAGCACAAACCCAATATACCCTCCCCACTAAAGTGGTGTAGGGTATAAAAATGCATGGTATTACAAATATTAAACTTTAAGAAAACATTTTAGACAAACATTAATAAATATGTCTAATGGGACTGTACATTTGTAAGCTAGATAAGTTGTCAACTGATAAACCCTTAAAAATAATTACATATTTATTTTTTAGATTTGAATGAATGTACATTAGGGTTGCCCCAAAATAGAAGTTTCTGATGTTGTCGCCGATAATAAAAATGTAGTTCATTCTATGATGCCATTTCTAAAGTTTTTTTGTCAAGACATCAATGTCAAAGAATAAGAACTTACATTTTTAGAAGTTTTCATGATTTTTTTTTTCATGTTTTTTCAAAGAAAATATTCGCAATTTTGGTATCATATGAAAGGTCTTCGAAATGCTATCGCACCTATTTGAAGACCTTTCACATTATTTCATATCATTCCTTTCCGTGAAACATAAAAAAATTACCTTTCTATCCACTTTCTCACAGCATACCAAATATTGAACCCAGGTCAAACAATTTTGAGAAATAATAGCTTAGAATGAGTCAAATCAAACATCAGTACTTTTTACTGATATAAACGGGGCTACCCCGGGGCTACATACAATATTTTGTTATACCAATAATGAATCAACTTATGTTTATCATATATCAACAATGTTATTATTTAGTACATATTAAGTTTAAAAGTAGTTGTCAAAGTTTATTTGACAATTAAAAGTAAATTCTGGAATCTGATCGAAACCGAATTATGGTCGAAAATTCGAAGTTATATTTGAAAAATGTTTAAAGTTATTTCCATTAGCTCCAAATCATAAAGATTCTAAGAATTTTATTAAAAAAATTAAGATTTTTTTTCCAATTTCAAACTTAAAATTTAAATATCATTTTAAAATTTACTTGAAACAGAATAGTCAATATAATAATAATCAAATGTAAGTTCGATTTTTTAAAGCTTAAATGCTTGTTATTTAAAATGTTGCAAAATAGTTTTTAATTTTAAATAAAATGTAATTTTTGTGAAAAGAATCCTTTTGAGCTTTGATCGTCGCTCATATTCCTTTAAGAGTAAATTAATATTTGTTATTATTATTTCACAGATCTCAAATTATTTTATATTAGCAGGGACTTAAACGTCATAACGTCAAAAATCGTTTTAAACTTATGTTTATTAACGGATGATGTCAACTGTTGTTAGTAATGCATGTAGTGTGTGTATGTCGATAACTTTAATCAATATTTTACAGATAAGATTAGGTAGAAACTTTGTTAAAATCAAAATTATATATTAAAAAATAAATTACGAAAACTCCTAAAAATATAAGAAAAATACCAAGTTTCAAGAACAAATGGTAATTTTTTCGTTATTTATTATAAAAATGTTATGCAAACACTATTTCACTACATAGATGAAAAAGAAATTGATCAAACTAGTATTGAAATCAAACATTTGTAAAAACTTTTATTATAACTTAAAACGTTAAAATTTTTAAACACTTTTATGCTTTTGTTATATTTCATCTTTCGTCATTAATAAAGCAATCATGAGAGTTTATTAAGATTATTTTATTACCCGCATTCACATAAACCAAATAGGCTATAAATAGTATTCCACATGTTGCAAAGAAACGCATTTTGCACTGAGTATATAACTTTTTTCTTTTATTTTCACGTAAAATTGATTTTAAATTAATAATCGAGCACTTTTAACTTCTCACAGCGACAATACTAGACTGAGTAGTTAAATGCAATTTCAGAAATTTTTTACCTTACTATCGATAAATATTTTTTTTTTATTATTTTTTCTAATCTTATCTATGTATGTTATATTTATTATTTTTATTACTAGTATTGATATTTATTTTAGTATATATGTATGTATGTATTATATTGTATTGATAAAATTTTTGTCACTTGTTGAAATGAAATTTTTGAATCGCTCCAAAGAAGTTAACAATAATTTCTTTTGCTCGAATAAAAACTTTTTACCGGATAATCATAGTTGTGATATTGTGGGATCAAAAATATTGACTTGTTTTATTGATAAGGCAAAATGTTAAAGATGCGTCATTTTGATTTTCTTGGAATGTATTTCAAAGTCTCAAGTTGTACTCTAATTAGTAATCATTTTACATAACATAAAAATAACTTTTAACTGAAATAAATTGCAAACACATTTTATAAATTTACACATTAGTGTGAAATTAAAAACAAAAATAAATAGTATAATCTGGATAAGATAAAACTTTTAATAAGAATGACTAATGTCTTGTGTCGAAACTGCCGACAATACAGGTTAAAGGTTTTTGAAAAATACCATTGAATAGGTCTCCCCTTGTGACATTTGCTAGACTCGCTGTTTCTGCTAGAAAAGTACGATAGCATTTTGAATTAACAGCCTAGCCTAGGCTTGATCAGTGAATTCTCTGAAGCCGTTGCAGTCTAATATAATTTGTTTAGTAAAATTACAGTGCACCACACTGCAGTGGAGTCGTGGAAATCATAAAAACGACAACGTCGGGTTGTGAAGTAGCTCAAACCCGCATCCGCTATTTAGATACCGTATAAGCTTACTCATATAATACTCTTCTTTAATATACATAGGAAATCCTAAATTTGTAAAAAAAATCCTTACTAAAAATCACAATTGTTCAAGTTAGCGCTCAATGGATTAATGGAAATATATATTACATATTGTATATGTATATATTAGGGTATTCAAACGAATAGTCAATCGGTTAATCGATCAATTTTTAACGATTAATCGCTCGAATAAATGAAAATTGCCAAATTTCAAATAACGAATAAACCGATAATTTATATAAATTAACCGATTAAGAAAACTTATTATTTAACAGTAAAATTACTGTATATTTTATACAAAATTCAATATTTTTATAGTAAATTTTCTTCCTTTATTAATCCCTTAATTATTTTTCTATAATGAAGAATATTTTTTGATGATTTTTATAACAACACTTCAGAAATATTGTGAGAATTTGTTCAGATTTACCTACTTCTAGAATCAGGATCATACAGAAACCCAGAAACTTCCAGATTCCTGAAAAAAAATATTCTATTTCAAATAAGTTCTTCAGCAATAGTTATATACCCCGTTTACGCGGTGCAATTATTCGTAATTCACGCTCTCATACATCATTCAACCCCCAATTACGTACTGAATGACATGATTCGCCATACAAAATTCCAGCTGCCAATTACACAAGCTGTACGTAATTCAGTTTGAATTATGTACGAATTACGAATGAATGAGTGTCATTTCTAATTTTTATCGGGTATTTATCATAATCAGCTTACAAAAAAATGTAAATAAATAGAAAATATACAACTTAAACTGTTGAAATAATGTAATAAACTTATTTTTGTATCATACAAAATTTTTGTATTCCAAAAAATTATAAAATAATGATTGAAAAAAATGGCATGGCGATGAACTGTCAAAACGAATTACGAATGTGTCGTAGAAACGGGTTAATTGGCTATTGTTACTCAGAGGCCGAATTAAGTAATTCAACTCCTTCGTGTGAACTTGGTATTACACAAAAAAATGTTAATATTATGCACATTACAGCAGTTTAGACTTAAGTTATGCCAAATTTATTTTATTTTTATTATTTTCGCTTTTATCGTCAATTTGCCATCTCCAATGTCTTTGTCATCTCTAAAATCTTACTCATAACTAATTTTCTTACACTTTATTGAATCTGTCAAAAACACCGAAACAAAACAAAAACAATCAAGTGCAAAAATTAGCAGACAGTTTAAATAAAATGTTTTCTTTTTATTAATAATAAATAAATTAACTAAAAATGTCTGTAATAATTTGCATAAATGATTATTGGCAACATAAAATCTACTATCATATTGTGCCCTCCAAACAAAATATCAACAATAACAACTTGAATAGAATCGACTATAATTTAGAAATTTTGCAAACAATCAAAAGGACAACCAAGTGTCCAAATGTTAATAAACTGCCGGTATTGAAACGTTTAAAATGGGAAATTGATGGTATAAATTATTATTATTTGCAAAAGGAATTATTAAACTATTTGGAATATAGAAAAGTGTTGAGCACTTGGCTGCAGTTAAAAGGTGTGCAATTGTTATGGTTACAAATTGTTAAGCCGGAGAGAGATATAATCGATTGGAAATGGTGAGTGTGTTTTTTATTAAAGCCCTGTAGTAAAATAAGCAAAAAAAAAAAAATTACTATATTAAAGCAATTGCTTTATATTTTTTTTAGGAATCGTATGCTAGCTGTTATATTATGGGAAAAAATAGAAACCGAATATCTAATGTCCTGGTTATCTACCTTAGGAGGAGCTTTTTCAGCTTTAGGCGAACAATTCTCCAAATGCGTAGGTTATATGTTATATTTACTTTAATAAAAGAACTTATTCTGAAAACGCTATTTTACCATTTTCAGGCTGAAATGGCTGGTAAAATATCACAGAAACAACTAATGATTGGCATTAAACTGGGTGACCCTTTTTTGCAATCTAGATGTAAACTTTTCTACAGTATATCACTAATACAAACGGGACGTTTGAGATCAGCTAAATACATCATAAGACAACAGTATAACTTTGCCCGCAGTCATGCCGAAGTGGATGGACGTTTAGTTAAAATGTGCAAAGGAATATGGTTGAAATTACAATATGAATATGGCTTAAGGCTGAAATCACGCAAAAAAGAAGCATTGCAAAATCAAAAAATTAATGGTGCTGGTGACAAGTAGATGTTAAAAGGATGTTGTGGTAACGTCACATTTAATCTATAAACTGATGTTAAACTCAGGACTGTTGAAACGAGTAAATGTTTGCTAAAAGTGAAATAAAATTTTGATATGGGTTATTTTCTTATTATTGTTTAATTTAAATTTAGTTTTGTTGTGGTTTTGTTATGTGAATTTTATTTAATAACCTTTTAAAATTTAAAAACTTTTAGTTCAAGTGCTCCTTTTTTCCGTTATTAAAGAAATTTGTTATAATGGAAATGTAATAAAGTGTCCAGTTATTTAAATAAAACTTGATAATAATTTAAATTAAAACGTGTTATAATTTTCAAATGGAAATCATTGTCAAAATGCAATTGTAATGGTTAGGTGGAGAGATGGGCAAAAAATTATGATTTGTAAAGTTCATGTTGGCATAAAGTGCCATATCCGTTATATACATACAAAAATAGGTTAATGGACTGGCATACATTAATAAAACTGGGGCTTATATACAACATACCTTCGTAATTTTCATTTTTGAGATAACATTTTCAAAATTTTGTACATTTTAGTCTGCTGTTAAAACTACAAGTTGAGTTATCTGTAAATATTTATATAATCCTCTCATTCTAAATTTTCTACATAAAATTTATAGATTTTTAAAAATCTTCAATGGCCTCCCTTAACAAAGAATTAATAAAATTAAAGGAAGCATCAATTCTTTTTTATATATAGAAAAAAATGCATTTTATAATATTTTGTATCTTTGTTTCGGTTTTCTTTACCGATTAATAATTGTTGTAAATCAAATATGTTGTATGTTGTGTGTAGTATGTATATAAGATAATAATAAATATATATAAATGGGTTAATATTGTATGTATTTGTATATTTGTTTTATACGTATAAGTATGTATTTTGTTGTTTTTAAAATATTTATATTTATATAAAAGAGTATACCGTTTTATAATTCTTTAGGAATCAAAAAACAGGTTGATTTTAAAAATGCAAATCATGATTGGAAATAAATGAATATAAGTAGACCACCATGTTTGTCATCAAGGAAAAAAGCTTATTGGTTTGTTTTGTTAGAGCTGTCTTGAAGAGGAGTTGTGTGTGTGTGTGTCTCTGGCAAACAACACATGTTTAGTATTTTAGAATAAAGACATGTATGATGTACTATATAAATATTGATGATGAAACCCTAAGACACTTATTGGGCCAAGGTGCCCATGGGATCCCAGGCAGGTAAAACAATAGGTTCTTGATCGAAAACGCGTAAAATATCTTCAGGCACATATTTTTTATCGACCACAACTTCAAAACCAAATTCTTTGAACCATTCGGCAGACATAACCAAATAACCCTTTTCGCCACGATCTTCGCCCCAGGAATTTTCCACGCGTAATTTCTTTGGTTGCGAATTTTCCTAAGTTGAAAGAAAAATAACATTGAAATACAAATGTTTATAGGTGTTTTGAGTGCTTCTAACTTACATCTAGTGAAACGGCTGTAAAGACCATGGCATGAGTCATGGCAGATTCACCATAAATCAAACGATCAGCTTTGGTCAAGGTTTTCTGTATATCTATATCGAAGACCAGCTTAAAATCGTGGCTAGAAAAGAGGAAAAAATATTAAAAGTTGATATAGTCTTGATAATTTTTAAACTTTATATAACTTACACATTCAAGTCCTCGATACCTTGTCTAGGAGCAAAACGTTTGCTGACCTCACAACCAAACCACACGGGTTCACCAGCTTTTATGCTGGCTGCCACCATTTGCAGCAAGATTTCAACCGGTTGATTATTATACAACACTGGACGACCATCGACTACATTACCCAAACAGTCTACAGTATAGGCTTGATTGTATTTGCTAGAAGGACGGGGATCAGTAACTAAACAAACCTAAACAGAAAAAATAACGATTTTTAGTAATTTAAGGTAAAAATTATAAGTTTTTATAAATTAAATACCTTATCCTCAACATTAAACAGAGGCTTAACCATGGTATTATAGAATTCAAGTGGTGTTATGGGACCCACTGTATGGTATGCTTTGGTTTTGTTATAATACTCCCAAGTAAACTCTTTGGCTGGTATACCCAAGCAAATGCCAACAACTTTATAAATTTCACCCATCATTTCATCAACTTTAGCATTAACTTCATCGTCACTTGGATTTGTATCCATCAGGTCACGCAGTACTTTGGCATATTCACGCAACTAGCAAAAGAAATTAGAAATATGAAAAAAAATCATAGTTTTTTTAGGTTACAACACCTACCTTGCTCTTTAAAACACCATTCATGCGTACACTAGCTTCAGAACTGTAGCTTTCGGGGAAACATTTCTTTGGCATAAGACCATGTTTGGTTATCAAATTAACTAACATATCCCACTGACCACCATCTGAAGTTGGATCCTATTTAAAGAAAATTATTAATTTTTAAAGAAATGCATTTATAATAATGATAAAAAAACCTACATTCAATAAAAATGATACCAAACGACCATCAACCTTCTCGCCTCGCTTGGCAGTTTTAACAATATTATTAAGGAAATAGTTGCAACGTTCAATTTTATCCCAATAAAATAAATATGACTGAGAAAACTCAAATTCTTCTAGATTATACTCTTTCATTAATGGCAAACGTAAACAATTCAAAGCAGCAAACAACCAACATCTACCCGAACTTTTTTGGTTTGTTACCGGTTTGCCCTCCATTTCCACCTACAATAAAAAATAATACATTGTGAAAAACAAATTATTAAATTTACATTTAAAATTCTAAACTTTACCTTATAAGTAAACACATGATTGGTGGTTTCCAACTGTTGGCGTGACAAACACACATCCCAGGGATCAAAACGGGAGCATACATTTTGTGCCAAAATATTTTTGGGCTCACTGTAAAACTCCTTACGCCATTTGTCTAATTTATCTTGTGTTATGGCCGAGGTAGAGGCTAAAAGAAAATTTGAGCCACTTAAGTGTTTGTTGTGTTCGAATATATTTTTTAAAATTCGTTGGCTTGCTTGTAGTATGGGACGTTGCCTACTGGTGGTTTGATAAATCTTATTTACAACTGAAACGGCGTGGCAGAAAAGAAATGTTGGTCAAATGTTTATTTTCACCCATTTAAGAACCCAAATGGTGGTGGGATTTATCGATCACACACACATAGAGAATATGAATGAAATGTTTTAATACAAAGCGGACAAAATATCATTAAATTTATTGTTGTGGACTTAATTATACGAGAAAAGTAGTTAGTTAGTATATTTGATTCGATATTAACTGGGTTCTTATGGTAATGATTATTTCTTTTAAGGTTTTAGGTTTTTGATAAAAAGAAGGAATCCATTCAGGCGTTCAGAAACGCAATTGCAAAATATTTTCTTCTAAATAATAGGTATAAACAATCCATCCTTTATTAAATAATTAATTCAAAATCGTTTTTTAGTGTGAAATCGAATATAAAGCTAAAACTCAGAATTCAGAGTTTGGCGAAAAATTAAATTTTAAGTGAAAAAACTAGGGAAAATTTAAATTTTAGTAATAATTTAAAGAAAATTCGAAGTTTTCGGAGTTTTTGTAAAATTTGAATCAAAAAACAATCAAAACCCAGGGACTAAAATTTGAGATGAAATTTTGGTACCTATCTGGATTTAAAAACTATTTGAATCGTGTTATTGTTATGAATACACAAAAAGAAAATAGTAAATCAGAAATATTTTTTGTTTTTCGTTAAATAAAAAAGGGCCTTAAAAAATATCAGTACAAAATGCATAATCATCACAAAGTACCTATTTTTTCCATCAAAACTTATGATCATTTGTTTAGATTTTACGTGTTTAAAATTTTAATTGGATAGAAGTGATAATGCGAAAAATATAAAAAAATAAAAGTGAGAGCTATAAAAATTGATAGTAAAACAACAACAGTAAGCAGCAACAAATTTACACACAAAGAAATGCAAATGAGGCAAGCAAATATTTTTATCTTAACACATAAAAACAACAGTCAACAAAAAATAAAAGATAACGACAGAGTTGAAAAAAATTAATATTAATAAAAAAAAACGTACAAAAGATCTAGGCAAATAATAACAATGACCCCCTCTCACACCCCTCCTCAACTCTTATGACTACTTATGATGATTAGGGCACATACGGACAAAAAATAACAACTACAACAAGAAAGATATCTTGGTTGGCTTTTGCCTTCTCTTCTGGCAAAATGTATTGCAAAATTCCACAACCGCAACAAATGTACTTTTGTGCCACATTTGTTTGTGCCAGCAGAAAAACAAGCAACAAAAAAATATTCAAGCAATCAATACATATTACTACTACTATTTCCAGTTTTTTCCTATTTTTTGGTTTATTTAGTTAAAAATACATTTTGTATTTGCTTATTTCAGAAAATATTAAAATTATGTTGTGGGTGCATTATGCAGCACTTTCTATTGTTGAAAAAAGTTAATTTTATTGAACTATTTGTTTAGGGCAAATTTTTAAAACACTTTAATTTACTTACACATTTTATTGTTCACAAATTGACGAAAACGACCAAGTTAGGTTAAAAAATAAAAACTTTTTCTTTTTTTATAGTTGTTTTATACGCGTTTTCGTAGGAAATTTTTATTTTTTTGCAAAATCTCACAGAGATGCAAAAGCGGCAATGACAAAGTGAAATGATATGATAACAGGCTTGCCAAAGTTTAAAATTTTTTAATTATCATCAGGGAGGCCAACTTATTTAAACCAAAATATCTTCCGTAAAATCTCCTTTAATACCAGAAAAAATTTTGTTTTGTTATGACAACAAATAATGTGAGTTTCTTAGATACATTATTACTATTTATTAATATTTTAAAATAACTTTCTAGCCAAAACTTTTTGTTATATGCAATTAAAATTATTTTTGTGTGATGACTATACTGCTTTTTGTTAATCTAGGTAACTCTGTTGTTGAATATTAACAATATTGCCACATGAACGTTTGTTGTATTGACCTGCCGAATTTATTTGCAGTGACCGAAGTAAGATTTGCCCCATATTGTTTCAATGTCAATATAACAAAAATATTTTAACAGAAGGAAGTGATATTAGTCCCTGCCGCCAATAAAAGAAGATAACCAAAAGCTTGAAAATTAGATGCGCGCTTAAAACAAGACAATAGTATCAGAACAAAAATATATATAAAATTTGCAATTGCTTAAATATATAAAACACATAAACATAGATGTGCTTGAATTAAACTCGGGTAAGGTACAATTTTCTCCATCACCACATATGACTCGAAAGTGACAAAAAATTAAATGAAAAAATATTCTTTATCCACTCGAGCTGAATTACTCATCGTTTAAATTGGAGCCGTTTAGATTCGTTAAGTTCCGAAATTTTTTAAAATAAAAATGTAGACAACCTTTGACAGCAGTCAGTGCGAAACAAAGCAAGGCGAATTTACATTGTATCACTGCAAAAATCGGCAAAACTTAGTTTTATATAAGTTTTACTGATTCTGCTGATTTTCATAATGATCGAGCCTCATTTGACCCTATTTCCCGTATGAAGTCCCCTTCATATTATTATCATAGCTTTGTGTTACAAAAGGAATTATCAACATTTTAAGAAGCGTCCAATAAGATAACCCACATCTTCATAATAACATCTTTCCGAAGACGTGCGTTATATCGTACATTTTCCGTAGAAAAATCCTAAAATAAGGCATCAATATCTTTATTAAGCATTTGAGTCTTTATTGAATTGCGAGATATTTAGTTGTATGTTTCTTTAAAAGTAAACAATTGTAAAGTCAATGAATAAGTACTAGTACTGAAAATTGAAAATTAATGTGAAAAGTTATTCCGGCTGCAAAATAAGTTGTCAACGGGCCGACACTTTTGGCGTTGGCGTGGCTTGGGAAAATTTACCTGTTGCTCAGCTAGCCGCCGGTCCCGTCGATATGGCTTGCTACTCTGTTTTGCACATACTTTAATCTGCCGGAATAGAAATTTTCGTTTGAAACACACATTATTCAATTCCAAAATTTTAATATTTTTAAATTTAGTTTTTAATAAAATTTAAAATTTTGCAAACTATTTTTATGAAATGAATTAGTCGTACTTACTGTTTTTGACATCTACGTGAACCAAATGCAAAAACAAAATACATGTAAAATGTTGTTTTTGTTGCCGAACAGCCACCTTATGTGAATTCGCCTTGCAAACACTTGTGCAGTGTAGGAAAAAAGTAAATAAATGTTGCATTCTGCTGTTGTTGAAGTACGCCAGCATTTGTGCTGTGCAAATGTTTTCTTAAAATTTAAACAATCTTTAAATGAAACGGAATCATTGAAAATTAATGTGGACGAGAATAAAGTGCAATTACAAAATCCAAAATGTACTGCTGAGATATTTGTCAACAAATACTTTACGATTTTAGCGGGAACATTTAGCAACTTAATAGTTGATGTGGAAAATGCAGCCTTTCGTATTAGCATAAAAGATGTAAAAATAGATGATCCTCAAAATCAAAAAGATGAAAAAATTGCTGGGCAATTGAATCTGGTGGAGCAGGACGTGGCATCGGTGCTGTGTTGCAATTGTAAGACAACATTGGTAGCTCCACAAAAATATGAAAAAATACGAGAATTTCCCTCGGGAGCCATAGATGTAAGTGAATTTTTTTGTCATCATGGTCCCTGTTTTAAAGATGTTTTAGTGCCCAAGTCAAAGGATTTGTTTTATGGATTTCAATTTATTGTGTTGAATAGAGAAGTTGTAGAAAATTCAACACGGGAAAAGGAAAATCATTTGTACTGTAAGAGATGTTTGAGATACTTAGGAGAAACCCTGTTTAATGGCAAGGCAGCCAAATTATGGTGTGATTCCTTACATTTGGATTTAAAAGGTAACATAATGGATATTTTGGCCTACAGCGCTCAATCAAAAATCCACAAACTTATGCTAAAGGCCATAGAAGAAACCTCATTACCCTCACCGGAACCTTTGTTAAGAAATATGCATTTTACCAAAGTCTTATTGGAAGCTAGTTTTCCTGATCGCCGCTCACAATTTTTACTTGTTCATATTTTAGAAAAACATTTGCCGGTTTTAATTCTTGAACAATGTGAGGAGAAGTTAACTAGAGGATTATCTACAAATACTTGCATAGAACTTAAGCCATGTAAAGCCTTTAAAATACTTTATCGTTCGATAGCATCGGAAGACGAAGAAGCTGTCAACAACAATGATGAGGAGTTAAATAAACGGCCACCATTGCTAGAATACTGGCAGCAGGATATTAATATTTTAAAAATGAAAATTTCACCTTTTCTATTCAGCGCTTTTCATGAAGAATTAGGACAAAACATTAATGTTTTGCCCGAAATTTATCGCGTAAATAATGATGACTTTTTACTAAGTTATATATTTTATTGATTCAAAATACTATGAGACTGAATTAAAAAAAATGTAACGATAAAATGTAAAACCAATTAATTAGATTTCTGAATTATAACCCAAGAATAAAATTATTCTCTGGCATATTAAAATATTTATTTAGATATGTATAATTCATTTGTTCTGAACTCTGTTTGAAAAAATATTTTTTATCGGCAAATAACTCAATTTAGAACTGAAAAATTTCCAATTTGTAAAACTAATAATAAGTAAAAGTGTTCCCCTTTAAATCGAGTTTTGGATTCCTTTTAAAAAAGTTTACTGTAAATAATAAATGATTTTCACCTGGCAAATTTGTACTTCCCTTAAAAGCTATATAAAATTAGAACAATTGTTATGTTATATAAGATTTTTTATACATATATATTTATTATTTGCTATTATACTCACAACAATAACATAATAAAAATTATTTTAAAAAATTCATAAGGGGTTGTAAATAATTTTTGAATAAAACGGATGACCAGCTAAATATAAGCTAGCTTTGAATTTACAGTTCAAGATATGGAAGTCATTAACAGTATAAAGTTTGTACCAGTTTGTTTGGAACTTCTAGTTTTGCAATATTTGATAAAAGCTTATACGTTTTTAGATGTTTTGCGTTAGAACAAATATAATTATATTTGTAATTGCTAGAATTGCAAGCTTAAGTTCTAAATGACAATAATTTGACTCAATCCGAGTGAAACCCATAAATCTATTGAGAACTAAAACAATACAATTATCAAAATTACAAAGGTTTAAAACTGAATAAACTTCTTTAAAAAATACACACATACTTTAGAATACATATTTGTTACGGTTTTTAAAACAAGCTACATCATATACACAAACGCTTGTTGTTTAATTGGGAAAATACATAAATATATAATTTTTCACTTAATAATTGCAAGTTTAGATTTTACTTTGCCATTTTACGCATTTGTTTAGTTTGTTCATGCATGGCTATCTCTGCCTGATCGGCTTTATTAATCATTCTATCCAAAGCATCTAAATGAGAAGTCATTTTCTTATCCAAATCCAATTTAGCTTGACGTATTTTTTCTGTTGGTATCACTGGCTGACCCTCCTGATGTTGCATATTATCCAAATTATCAAGAGCCTGATTAATATCGGCCGATGTATTGGCCGCTGTTGTATTACGTCTTGATGAAGTATTGGGCGTGTCTTCGTTGAGTTGCGACTTGCCCGTATCCATTGAACTAGTTCTGCTGAATATATTAGTCAGACTGCCGCAAGCAGTTTGTTTAAAACGATTAAGTTTTTGTTGTGTTGATGATAAAATGCCAGTCAATTCGTCCAATTTACTGCCTGTACCTTTTAAAGCTTCATCTTGTTCTTCCAGCATCTTTAAGAGTTTAAGATGTAACTTTTTACAGTTTCACTTAATTTTTTATTAACTCATTTTATTACCTTCGCTTCAGCTGCTTCACGTTCATCTTGTTCCTGTTGTAGCCTTTCGGCTCTGGCCTTTTCAAATTCTTCTTTGTCAGGCTTTGCAATGCCCAACAATTCAGCTCTCATACATTCATATTCATAAGTTCCTTCGGCCATTATCTTAAATTTTACTTAATTTTTTTATAACAATTAAATCGATTTTTTTCCACGTTTAATTTAAAACAATTTATATAGGACAAATAAATCCGGTGGTAATTAGTCTAATGGTTGAATTGACAAATGCTACACTAGTTCCATAATCGGCGCATGAGCATAACTCAAGTGTTTATTATTTGTTTTAAGAAGTAAATAATAAAAATATCTACACTGTTTCCATAGTGTCGGACGAAAATATATTGAATTCGAATATGATGTTATTTGCAATCATGAAAAATATGACACTGACCTACATATACGCATTAGTCACACACAAATTTAGTATGTGCAGAAGAAAATAAATATTCCTTTAGCAGTCAATTGTTTTTTATTTTTGGATCTCCATGTATTTATTAAGAAGAAGGGTTAATTGCTTTGTATAATAAGAGTTAAATTACCTTTGAAAAGTATTTATAAAGTGTCTACACTGCATTCATTTTCCGGTTAATTAAGATTCTAAAAATATATTTCTTAACTTTAACTCCACTTCGCACAAAGTTTTTTACAAAATTTTATTACCAAAATTTAAATACACATTTCATTTTTAAGAATTTTATTTTATGTTTGTTCAGTACATCTTTCATAAATCTGTATGTATGATTCCGTTAAAGTTATCATTTGTGGCAGTATTTCGGTGACATGTAAATCTTGCATTTCATACCACTGGCCATTAGCTTTGTGTAAAATATGTACACGATAAGTACCCTTATTAGGTTCACCATCATGTACAATATTTGCTACTAAATTGTATTTACTATCCGGCAGCTTTTCACGATTAGGTATAGATAAAATGTCGCCAAAATCCACATTTCTGAAAGAAAAGTGATACAAAATATTATTTGGAAAAACGTATTAAATCAAAGGATAAACTCACTTGATTGGAAAGTTAACAATTGTGGGATTTTTCTCCAAAAAGAAAGTATTTTTCGTAAATCTTTTTATGTACAATATTATGAACTGTGGCAGTTTAGTGATTTCAAAACGTTTCAGAAAATTATCCTTATATGTTTTATACTCCTTTTCGGTGGTACCATTAAATTTAGCCAATAACTGATAGAGATTAACTTGTGGTATAATATTTTCCCGAAACTCGTCGGTAAATAAAGGAGGTGGTGGTAAATCACATGTTAGATACAGGAAATTAGAATCCTCACACTTTTCCTGATATTCTTCTGTAGCCAGCAGTAGAGTCTTTTGTGTATCATCCAATTCCACTGGAGGTATCTTACGTGTATATATTTTCATTTCACCCAAAAATATTTTATTAATTATGGACGAATCAGCTCTTTTGTTGCCTCTTAAAGCGCGATGTAAGGTGTGCAAAAACCAGGATAGAAATTCAATGGGGTCGCCTTGCTCGGTAATTTGAAAACGTTTGTTTGACCACAGCACTACTGACTGCAACATTTCGTGTGGAGATACATGAGCCTTAAAATTGCGTGGATTCCAAATTTTACGCATAAGTTCACCAAAACGTTGCACTAAATTGAAAATAGAATCACCTGGAGGTCTTTTGATTTTGGCATAATGTTGTTCACGCAAAAAATAATCCCTTAAAGGACCCACATGTGACAAAGCATGTAACACCACATTGCAATAATCATTATTCTTAATATTATTCAAACCTACTACACCTGGCAAATAAAGAGTACCGTCTACGGTACGCGAGTGTTTGGGATCGGATTTATCCAAGTTGTGAATATCTTGCTGGGAAAAGGTAGGATTGAGTACATATTTAATATCGTCCAATGATGAATCAATAATTTCATAATTATCCGGCAGACAGTAAAATCTTAATGTTTGTAAATTTAGAAAAACATGATGAGCCTCCGCCACTGAATGTGTATATGCATGGGTGTTGGTACCACGTCCCTGGAAGTACTTGCCGCAAACCAGACAAGCATAGACATTGATACGCGTCAAAGATATGGAGCACAATTTTTCAAAATCGAAATCCAATAGAGGGCGATTGATGGTATCCAAATAGGGACATACCCGATATTTGGGATTAAACACAGAAGGAGTATCTAGTTCTAGAGAAAACAATACAAAATTTATTTTTTATTTACTAAACGTAAACACGCTTGGTGGCTGACGGCCTTTTCTTACCATCTTCATTGGTGTTTGTCTCTTCAGTTTTGGGTTTTTTAACTGCTGGCTCGTCTGTAAACATATTTATAAATTATAATGAACAATGTACTGGGTTATAATTATGTTATTACCTTTAGAATGCATTATTTTTAATGTTTTTTATGTGAAAGTAACTTTTCTAAACATTTCTATTAAAATTACAAAATCTTCTTCTATTTACAGTGAGACATTCATCTCGGAATTGATAACACACAATTTTAAAGTTGCCAGATTGCTTAGTTTTTGGGTATTAAGTGAAAGACTGTTACAACTCAAAACGACAGTTTTCAGTACTATTCTTTAAATAAATTGTGTGCTGAGCTTAGAAATAATGAATTCTTTTCGAATTAATTCACAGTCATTCATATTTATAATATTAAAGTTTGTAATTAAGAGATGTGTGCTATTTAAAACATGGAATATTTTCTATTGAAACTCATTACTTTAATTAAGGGCTTTAAAATACTACCTGATATGGATAGATTCATTAGTATATAAAAAATTACCGTATAGCTAACACAATCCTAATAGTTTTACGTTCAACAAAACGGTTCGTCAAATGTTTTACTAATTTACATATGACTTCTAAAGTCCGAGGTGTATTTATGCACAATTTTCGTCACCAGATACATGGAATTACAGATAGGCTATGTATATAACATTAAAAGAATAACCAATATTTTTGTTACAATACAAAAATTTTCATTTATTTTGAATAAAAAAATTATAATTTTTAATACTAAATAAGATTATTTTGACATGCATACAGTTTGAATTAATAACCAACCACAAATAAATGTACATATAATTATATGCATATATAAATATATGTATGTATGTATGTTTCTGTATATAAATATATTTTACAAAATACAACATTTTCGTTATTAAACTTTAGAACGGATAACAATTTTAAAATTCAAAACTTTCACAGTTTTGCTGTATTTTAAGGCAAAACTATAAAAGTTATAATGTTAAGATTTTGAAATCAATTTAGTTTTGGGATAAGAAATTATTTCAAATTAATTTTCCATTATTTTATATTAATTATAATAATTAAAATAATTTCTCTAATAATTTTAATGAAAATAATCTGATTTTGCTTTCGTTGCAAAATTAACAATTAAAATTTTATAATAGTTTGAAGAACTATAAGAAAACTAGTTAAATAATAATAAAAAACAATTTGAATAATATATAAAAACATTTTGAATAATATATAAAAACATTTACAACACTTTTAGTGTAAGTTTGTTTTTTACAGTTGTAATAAAGGGGTTATAGAATATTGACTCTTAAAGATCTGGTCAACTATATATTCAATTTTCTTTATTTTACCACACGTCAATATTCTATGGGATAGTTAAAGAGGAAATAAAAATAAATTCATATATTTGTTAAAAGTTGCTTAATTTGATTTTAATTATGTTTTTAAATCTAATAAGGATTAACGGCTGCCAGACCCACTCGACCAGCTGAACGTGAAAAAACTGGTTCGGCGTAGCTGTGTCGATAACCTTTTGGCATATTGGAAATAGCTTTTCCATGAGGTACTGGAGCACCTATACCACTACCACTGCTTGAAGGTGAGGCTTTCGATAAAGATGTGGGAGGATATGAATCATCAGGGATGCGATGACGTTCCATTGAACGATCGCCACGATGATGAGCTCTCTCTGAACCAGAACGTCTATCGGGTGAATAGTCTCGCCGTGTGTATTCTCTAGATTGATCCCGATCACGTATGCGATGATCTTCTGGACGGCCGTGATGATCATGTGATGTCTGTTCGCGATAACGTGGTGCATCTCTGTAATCATTGCTATCAATTCTATTTCTAGATTCAGCACGTTTGCCAGAACTGTCTCTGGGACGTGTATTGCGACTATGAACTTCCATTTTGGAGGGTGCAGCATTTGATCTGACACCATGTTCAGCCCATTGATCACGAGATCTGGAACGTGATCTTATTTCTGGAGGTGGATCGTCATACAAATGTTCTTCATCGCTCCAATCATCATAAGCTCTTGCCTTGGGTTCCGGCGTTTCTATGGGGCCTCTAGAGCGTGATTTGTAATCAACAACATCTTTTTCATCTGATAAATCATAACGACTGCCGGATCTCTCCATGGCCCGGAATTTTTCTTTCGTTTCTATAAAACGTTCCTTATTTGAAGTGTTGGTGTTGTATTGCTCTGGTCTGCCATGAGCTGGATAATTGTAACTGTAATCTCTTTCTTCATCATGTTGGGAATGTGCTTTGCTACGTTGACTGAGTTTGCTATGTAAAGGCTCCTTTGTTCTGGCTACATTTAAGTCACCATTACTATCATATGATTTATAACGCATGGCTGAAGATTTCATCATTTTCTCCATACTTTCTATATAGGGAATACTTTCAGGTTCTCGGTAAGGATTGCGTTCCTTACTACGAGAATGATGTTCCCTTTCTCTATCGCGTGAATGATGCTTTACAGCTTCCACATTACGTTCGTCACGAACATCGCGGACTTCACGAGCGTCCCTTGACCTGGCTCCAGAACGTTCGGCTGTGCGATGTCCAAGCTCTGATTGATCGGGGGAATTTGATTCCCGGTGATAGCCAGCATATTTCTCTCTAACGACATTTTGTTCAAAAGGCAAATCAGCTGGATCCACATAACGATGTTTACCGCCATACCTTTGGACCTCATCGGCAGCATAAGATTTCGGATGTGCCGAAGGTTTCGTTTTTGAAGTTGAATATTCCATAAATTTCTGTTTGTCGGTAAGATTTTCTTTGCGATAACCATGATGTGGTGCTGCATGATGATGTTGATCGTCAAAGTCATCTAAACTATTATTTGATTTGTACTTATAACGTTGATCATTTACATCATGATTCAAAGACAAATTTTTCTTCATTAAAGCAGCCATTTCATTCGATTTTTCTACATCGGGTATCTTGGAGCGTTCTCTGCTCTTTTCCTCTAGCTTATGATGGTTATAGGCATATTGTTCGCTTTGTAGTACACGATTGATTTTTGAGTCATAATTCGAGGGTCTAACAATAATCGGTTTAATTTCATCTTCTCTAGTCCAAGACGAAGAAGAGGGTGTCTTCGATCTAGGATCTCTTTCGGTAGAGGGTAACTTGTCTCGTGGTGTATAGGGTTTGGCAGGCAAATCCCTCAAATAGCTATCGTCACGAGGATGTACCGCATTTTTACGTGTCAGATTCATATGATGTTGATTAATAGGTGCTGTGCGTTCCAAAGATATTTGAGAAGGTTTCAAGGCTATGACAGAGTTATCGGCCTCATTGCTCCAATGTTCATCATCTAAAAAATAACAATATTTTATTAATGAATGAAATATTATTAAATAAAATTTGTTAAGAACTTACCACTGGAAGTATTTATATCTTGCCTTTCAGGACTAGGTGCCAAATCGGAGCCTATGCCCGATGAACCTCTAGAAGAAACCTGCTTACCACTGCTAGTGGGCAAATTTTGTGGTAGTTCTGTTTTTGAACCCGGTCTATTGCTGCCTACGATCAACTGATTTCGACAACGTCTCAATTCTATAGCTGTCAAATTTCCCTTGGATCTGTGTACCGTATCATAATCTCGTGGTGGCAGTAGCAATGGTGGTCCATTTCCATTTAGTTTTGCTCTTAATTCGGCAGCTAATGAATCAAACAGTTCCGGATTGGGTAAAGGCTGTTGTTGCAAAGGCAAAGGTTTTACTCCCAATGGTGATCGTGATATGGGTGAGTTACCACTAATATCTTCACTACATTCTGAATCTCGCGTACTATTACCGGTATCGCTGCCTAACGATGAAACAAATCGCTTCGATGATGGTTCATGTCTTGCCGATCTTGCTTGTTGTTTGTGATGATGATCATCATAGTTGTGTTGTGATTCTTTCTTATGATTAAGTTCGTCGTTGTGATTCGATGTTTTATTAGACGATGATGATAACGATGGCATTCCAGGTATAATTCCTAATCTGTAGGTTAGAGGAGAGTAATTAAAAATAATTCAAATCTAAAGAGCAAAATGTGCTTCAATCAAGCACTAAGTAAAAATTATGTTTTGGAGCATACAGCATTAAAAATTAGCCCACTTTAGAACATTGTCACCACTACTGCCCGTTCATATTTTCAAAATAGCTTTCAAGGGACTACTTTTGTGATGTTCCGTCTAGTGTTAAATATTATTTTACTTATTACATAAATACACATATACCTTGATTCCAAATCCTCAAAACGCTTCTGATTCTCAGGACGATTTATCAAAATCTGCAATTGTTGATTCAAAGCCTCGGCGGTAGTTTCAGAATCACAGCGATAGGCATGCACATGCAGGGGACATTTTGTGACTGGATTATAAAGTAGCAAAACGCAGGCTACTATATCGTCCGTTTGTACGGAACTTGTTATGGCACTGTGTGGTATAAAATGTTTAGAAGAGCCCTGAAATGCAAAATTTTATATTAATTACATAATTTCAATTGTATATTTTAATAAAATCGTAAAGTACACAGTTGGAAAGTGTAATTTTAAATCGGAATACAAACAAAAATCAAGAACGTCCCCAGTAAATTCTAAACTGAAACACTCCTCATATGAGGACTGAATTCTAAATTAAAAATTGTGAACACATCTTTCATGAGTGTCGTATAAATTACATCAAAATTAATCTCTCGAAATTCACAAATTTTGCAAATGCCTTTCCCAAGATTTAAGTAAACATTGTTCCCCACCATTCTTGCATAAATTTTGGAACATCTTTAATACATAAATGTGTATAAAACTCACCTGTATAATTTTAATTCCTTTATGCGATACTTGCAATGTTACTTTAATTGGCTCCTGTGTACGTGATCTATCGATGAGATACGGCAACACGGAATTAATGACTCGATGTCCTCGCAAACCTTTAGCTTCTTCAGCGCCCAAAAACCATACGTAATACGATGCCTTTTGGACATCACGTCTTAAACGTAACGCCATATTTAGATTTTAAATAATTGGTGGTTATATAGTTGATTTTTTTACCGTATTCCCCACACAACGCTAGAAATAGAAATTGAAGAAAAAATATAAATAAAATTTAAATTCTAGAGTCGGCATAAGTATTACGAGTCGTAATTTACGACATTAGTAACAAGATAAATAACGAAGTTCTTAAAATTGAATTACTATATCGAACTGTTTGTTAAGTTCTAATTCAGTTCTAGTTCAGTTCTTGTTCAGTTCCAGTTCAGTTCTAGTTCAGTTCTAGTTCAGTTCTAGTTCAGTTCTAGTTCAGTTCTAGTTCAGTTCTAGTTCAGTTCTAGTTCAGTTCTAGTTCAGTTCTAGTTCAGTTCTAGTTCAGTTCTAGTTCAGTTCTAGTTCAGTTCTAGTTCAGTTCTAGTTCAGTTCTAGTTCAGTTCTAGTTCAGTTCTAGTTCAGTTCTAGTTCAGTTCTAGTTTAGTTCTAGTTCAGTTCTAGTTCAGTTCTAGTTCAGTTCTAGTTCAGTTCTAGTTCAGTTCTAGTTCAGTTCTAGTTCAGTTCTAGTTCAGTTCTAGTTCAGTTCTAGTTCAGTTCTAGTTCAGTTCTAGTTCAGTTCTAGTTCAGTTTTAGTTCAGTTCTAGTTCAGTTCTAGTTCAGTTCTATTTCAATTCTAGTTCAGTTCTAGTTAAGTTTTATGTAGTTCACTTCCAGTTCTGTTCTGGTTAAGTTCTAATTCAATTCAAGTTTAGTTCTAGTTCAGTTCTTATATCGAATTTTATTGAGATTTTGAACGATATCAAATAACTAAACGAGTATTTAGATTAGATTTAAATCAAATATTAATCCTTGATAGATGAAAGTGTTCTGCCAAAAATTGTATCAAATAATATTTACAATCTACTTTTCTTTTTAAAACTGATTCCAATCTTGACAATATTTAACAAAAACTTTCCTGATTACTTAAGCATTTTAAAATATTCTCTAGAAAGATATTATTTATTAAATAAAAAATATGCAATAATTTTTTTTTAATTAATTAAGTTGTTAATAAATTTGTAATAAAATAAAGAAAGTTTTCATTAAACATTGAAGTAGTAATGAAAAATAATGTTTAAATCTTTTGACTAGTCACTTTCAATAGTTTTCACACACAAAAAACATAACATATACAAACTACTTAATAAAACAACCCTGTATTTTGACAATTACTTTGTTTACGTGTTATCGATAGTTCAACTATTTACCGTTACTTTATAAAAAAACATAAATGACAAGTAAGCGAAAACTTTGTACATTAACATTTAAATTTTTTTTGGCATATTTCCATAAAGGAAGGAAATAACCATAAATAAAAATCAAATATATAAATAAATATCAAATATAGCATTAGTAAATCGAAAAAAAGAAAGAAGTTTTTTAGCCAAAACCACCAACATTAAAAAAAAATCGACTTTTAGTGGTTTTCACTCGTTATGGGTGCGGTAATTTTATAAAACAACTCACGCAAAGAAATCATATGGAATATACACTTTTATTTTATTTATTACTCATGTATACAAGGTCACGATTGCAATGTTCTTTTTAGATCTTTTTTTATTCAATATAAGTTTTTCAAGTTTAGTCTAGTTTTCATAAGAAGTTTTTTGTTAAACTTTTTATTTACAATTTTTAAAGAAACATATGTTAAAATAAACATATTTGAAAGGTTTCTTAAAAAAACTACTTAAACAATTGAAAGTGTTTTTAACATTCTAGTTTACGGTTAAATTTGATGTCCTTCACTAATAATATATAGCCATATACATACAATTTAATACCATTTAAAGTACCTACTTAAATAAAGAAGAGCATTGGTATAAAAACTTTTAAAAGATTTTAAATGCCAAGGACTACAAAAACTTATTTAAAATAATTGACACATTTGTTTTGCATTTTTTGCACATCTCTGACCATTTCTAGCAAAGTGCTATCTATCATCAATGTAAACATTGAAACCGTTATTTTTATTAGGGTTACCATATCATACTCTCCATTTTTATTAGCTTACTAAAGCATATAAGCGTTTTTATGTTTTAAATGTTTTTTTGCTAAATTTAAAAGTAAAACACATTTAAAACGATATTTTAATTATTTTTATGTGTTTCAATGAGTGATTTTATTATAAATATTTAAATGGTAGGTTGTTTTACTCTTCTAAAATATTTAAGGCAATTAATTTAGTTTAATCTTTATAACTATTTACATATACATATGTATGTAAGTAGAGAAAAAAAAATATGTATATATAAAGTGCTTTATAGTCTTTAAAAATAATTTGCATATGGAACAAACGAGTATGTATGCTTAAACTTAAGCTTTAAAAATACAGACATACAATGGGTAAGTAACAGGTACATAGGTAACGGTAAAAGTAAAAAAGAAATTGTAAGAAAAAGTTTATTGTTTTAAAATATTCTTTTAAAGACTATCTGTAGTTTAATGTTATGAAAAAAGTACCATTATTTTAACATAAAATTTATTAATAAATAAAATTAAAAATTTTTTAGCCCAAGTTTGGCTACCGTTTATTTTTATAGAATTCTATGGGTTAAAATAATTTTTCCACGAAATCTTTAAATAAAATTTAACTAGTCATTAAGGAAAAGGGTGTTAATTTAATAAATAAAATCTATAAAAGTTATAAAGGTAATATTCTAGTAAACAAACTAATATTTTTATTAACAACTTTCAATAACAGTTTCAAAACATGGACAAGTTTTATATGAACCAACATTTCCCTACTTATTTCCATGAGGATCGGTACATTATTGAACCCTGAACAGAAAACCTGTTTATTTAACTAAATCCTTTACAAATGAAGATAAATATTGAGATGAAATTCAACAAACATGATTTTTTCTAATCGCTATCAAATCCTGTAGTGTTAGGTCCATAATTGGGCCAAGTATAATTTTTTTTTTATCCATGAAAATCACAGCAATAATGTTTGCTTTATAGTGGCTGTAATGTCTCTGTGAGTCAAAAAATATGCTCGTGATATGTAAGTGCCTTCCTATTAATAGTTTGTGGAACCTATTTTTGAATGACAACTAACTAAATCGTTAATAAATAAACCAAAATTGTTGTCAAATTCAAAACGTTCACGATTTTTAAAACACCCTTTAAATATGATTTAAAATAGATATTTGCCAAAGATAAATAAAATAATAACATTTGTTAAACATTTCTCATATAATTTTTTTTCTTAAACAATATTTATTCATACGGTCTCCCCCTTTATTTGCATTATTTATTTAAACGATTTCTCTCAAAAACTCTATATTGAGCAAAAATTCAAAGACAAACCTTAAAAAAATTTACTATCAAAGCTTTTCAGTCAACGACGATAAGATAAGAAACATGTATTTTAGAGCTACAAATAAAATATTCGAAGAAAAACATCTAATTTACCAACTACTGAATACAAATTTAGTAACTTGTTTACTGTAAAACGAAAAACAATACCATCGACGATTAATTCAATATAAAAATAATAAAATAATGGACGAAACCGATTTATCATTATTCAAAAGTAAAAAAGATAAACATGACAAAGCCGATGCCACCTGCACCACCACCACTAACACCTCTAGCACAACTAAAGAACCAGTAGAGAAAAAAGTTATCTTTTCACGACCCACCGATGAAGATGTTTACAATTGCGATAATCCCCAGGCGGGTATTGCACTCATTTTCAATCACAAAGATGTCAAGGGTCAAAAGCAAAGAGTGGGCACCGAACAAGATCGTGATGCTGTAGAACATACTCTCTTGAATTACGGCTATGATGTGAGAGTGTTCAATGATTTGACATTTGCTGAAATAAGTGATGTTTTAAAGAAAAGTGAGTGAGTGCAGCAATTTCACAAAGTTTTTTTTTTGAAATTTATATCGATAT